AGAAAGGGCCTTAACCTTTGTGAAGTCGCCAAAATGCCTGTCGACATACTTGTCCTCACAGTCTCACAATTGCAAGCCCTAGAAATTTTAATTACCAAGCATTGCTCCGTAGCAAATTCATTTGTTTCCTCGAACCATTCCTAACACTAAAAACCAAAGGGCAACAGGATGATTGGATGAGGCAACATCAAAGAAGCAAATATAAAAGCCTTTTCTCAAGAGCAGAAAGAAAGCCTTATACTGAGCAAAGTATTCATCAGTTGCATCTACAAGTATGCAGAACTCAGAGTAACAAATCTGAACTCTCCGGGAAAAATTGTTTGCCAAACAGTTTTCCCTTGACGAACTGATGCCTTGACAGGCTAATAATGAGATAACTGACAGTCAGTTTTATCTTCTTCGCTAGAACATACATATCAACTGGATGACCAAAAGCAGAAGCTTCCATGTGCTCAAGCAAGTTTCTCCCAATTGGGGAACCTCTTTGTAGACTCAATGCTGTAAAGAATCACCATCCTCAGTGGTGGTGTTCTATTGTCACATAACTTATCAATGATGAGTCAGCAGTACTAGCAAAGTCACTAATCATATGAGCAACCAATGATGAGTTAACAATATCGGCAGTCACTAACTTCTAATTGTGAGCATCCCTTTTTGACTTCTATGATTCTGGTTGAGGCTGCAAGGCCCCGCACTGATGTGCTTCAAGATTGTGATAACTCTTGCTGTATGAAAATTGATATATATATTGATATTTTTCCGGTCACCAGAAATGTTTTAATTAAATGTGGGAACCGCCTTGTCTAGAAGTTAAAATACTAGAATGGGGTCACATTTATTTAGTTATTTTAGGTTTACAACACGATCGATCACATGCTGACCTGGTTCTTTTTTATAGACCAATACCTTTTCATTCCATACAGAATTATGTAAACTGCCTTGTTTAAAGCTTAAACTATTAGAGATCAGACACATATCTTTTTATGTTTTAGGTCAACAGTCTTAGCTGTCCCTTCACTTGATATTACAACTAAATACCATTCCTATAGCTCCGGAAGATATATTGGCTCTTAACATTAATCCAGCAGGATGTTTAATATGCTTACCTGTTATAAGCTGGAGCTACAACCAAAATTCACATAGTTCGCGCACTAATTTTTTTTTATAAGGTAAGATTTTATTGATATACCGTACTAAGATAGTACTGTTGGGGAATTACAAGAAGCTGGACTTGTTTTACATTACAGACTCGTCACATTCAACTAGTCCAACTTTTCCTCTTCGGATTGAGAAGGGAAGTAGGTTTCTTTGTTGGATTTTGAAGCTAGACAAATGAGTATATAACATCAAAAGGCAAAGAAAAAAAAATCTATACAACAATACAGATTATAAATTTCTAAAAGAATATAGCTAGACAAATTTACAGGTTATTCATGATTTTTCCTCTATCTGGAAGGTGAGAAAGGACACTACCAACCATACAAACTAGGAACCATTATAATAGCACCTGTTTTATTACAAGGAACTATAACAAGTTCAAATCATTTTTACAAGACACACCCTCCCTCAAAAATAAACAAATTAATAAGAATTCTCATATAACTATGATACACCAAATGTTCATTTTAGTTCCTCTATGTGTTCAATATTGCTTTAAATATAACTTTCTGCATAAAGATCCAATAGAATGGTGAATTTCTAAATTGCATCCCACGCAAAAAGAAAAAGAAACCATTACCTGCTTCAAACGCATAGTCACCGGTCAAAGGATCCTTGACAACAGCAACAGTAAGGCCAGCATTGGTTGTTGCATTACCACAAATGTATATGCCACGAGGAGAAATGGAAGCTGCCGCTTGAAGTAGTTGACTTTTACCCAATCCAGGATCACCTAAATTGCTTTCCAGAAGAAAAAAAATTGGTAACTGCTTTCCAGAATTTATTTCCACAAGGACCAAAGAAGTCAAACTATTCTGTCACATACCGACAATTATTATGTGGATATCTCCTCTCACGGGAACCTTATTCTGATCCATTGAATGCTTCCTCACACCCCCAAATAAAGCTAATGTAATTCCCGCTATATAGGAAAAAAAGAGAACAAGTAAAAGAGTAAAGAGGATCAAGCCATCTACAAACCAACAGAATGACCACTTGAAACAGTTCATGGGAACAAAACAAATTCCTCAAAACACAATGTAAACAAAACAAGAAAGGAATGCGATCATGTTTCAAATGTATGTATGTCCTTTTTCCATGACTCAAATACCCGTAGTTATAATAAGCAAACGCAAGGTAAAGTAATGCAAGAGTTTTTCAAGGCACAAAAGTAAGCGAGCCAAACACTTGGGAAGTAGGACAAGTGATAACAATCTCCTCCATACTAGTTCAGGCAAAGAGATTATTTCAGTGTTTTTCTTCTGGTTAAGAGGAGAAAGATGAAGAAAATCTAAGTACTAAGTGGAAGATAGCTGTGTTTCACCTTTGATATATTTATACCTAACGAATCCAATAAAAAGACGCTCTTTCATTTGAAGTATTTCCAAGAAAAGTGGCAGGATAGACAGTTGACAGCTCAAGAAATCAAGTCCCTACTTCATGAGATAGAGCACACCAAAGCCAAAAAAGGGGAAACAGAAACGATGACAATGACAACTACAAAGAAATTAAAGGGCACAAAAGTCGGGTATCTTCCCATGCCTAACCAGAGAACAAGTCTGAAGGAAAGACCGTCAAATATAATCATATAATTGCTCCATTGTATTGACAATTTCAAAAACTAATGTAGTATGATTGATGGTGGTTGGCCAAGCAGGCCCCCTGTCTTCTCAACCATTAGTATACTCAATAAATAAATTACAAAATGATTCATCAATATAAAGCTTTTCTTTACGTATACCCAAAAAACAGAAAGACGCTCTTGGAGGGTAAACCTTGATATGAATTACCATAAGGACTGCCGGAAATTGTGAACACTCTTGTTTAAAGATGAAAAATTGCATGAGATGCATTGGACTAGTCAATCAACCTAGATCATACTTCCTATTTATGGAAGAGAGTTCACACGATACCATCAAAATTTGAACAAAATTCTTGTTATGTGTCTATGATTGCTTGGAGATGTTTGGAGGCTAAAGGTGTGCTTGTAGCCTACATTAGGGTGATTAAAGACATGTATGATGGAACTAAGACCCGGGTAAGGACAGTGGGAGGAGACTTAGAACACTTTCCGGTTGTGATGGGGTTGTACAAAGGATCAGCCCTTGGCTCGTTTTTATTTTCCTTGGCGATGGACACACTGACACGACACATTCAAGGGGAGGTGTTGTGGTGTATGTTATTTGCACTGCAGATGATATAGTTCTGATTGAAGAGACGTGAGGTGGTGTTAACAAGAGGCTGGAGGTCTGGCGACAGACCCTAGAGTCTAAAGGTTTCAAGTTGAGGAAGACCAAGACAGAATACTTGGAGTACAAGTTCAGCGACGTAACCTAGGAAGCGAACATGGATGTGAGGTTTGGTACTCAAGTCATCCCCAAGAGAGGTAGTTTCAAGTACCTTGGGTCAGTAATACAAGGAAATGGGGAGATTGATGAGGATATAACACACCGTACTTGGAGCAGGGCGGATGAAATGGGGGCTCGCTTCCAGTGTCTTGTGTGATAAGAATATACAACTAAAACTCAAGGGTAAGTTCTACAAAGTGGTGGTTAGGCCGACTATGTTATATGAGGCAGAATAGTGGCCAGTCAAAAACTCTCATGTCCAGAAGATGAAAGTAGCTGAAATGAGGATGTTGAGATGGATGTGTGGACATACCAAATTAGATAAGATTAGGAATGAAGTTATTGGGATAAGCTGGGAGTGGCCCCCGTGGAAGATAAGATGCGGGGGGCGAGACTGAGATGGTTCGGACATGTGAAGAGGAGAGGTACAAATACCCCAGCTAGGAGGTGTGAGAGGTTGGCCTTGGTGGGTATGAGGAGGGGACATGGGTAGAGATAGGCCAAAGAAGTATTGGGGAGAACATGACGTAGTTGGAGCTTACAGAGGACATGATCCTTGATAAGAGGGTATGGAGGTCGAAAATTAGGGTGGAAGGTTAGTAGGTAGTTGAGTGTTTTCCTTTTGTATCTCAGGCCGGTAGCATTAGTATTAGCATGGTATCTTTTTATTCTTGGGTGAAAATCATTTACATCCCACAAGTTTGCTTTAAGAATCAAACTCATCCTCCAACTTTAAACAATTATCATTCTGCTCCTCATATCAAAGGTGACTTCTTAAAATGCCTATTTTACCCTCTAAAATTTTTATCTCTTATTTTTATTCTTTAATATAATGATTTTTTTTTAATTTCAATTTATGTTATCGATTTACCTATAGACAAATTAAAGAAACTTTTTCGAAACCAAAAAAAGTGAGAAGTAGTAGTCAAGCATATAAGTTAATGACATTCAGTAGTGAAATAATGAGAAAAATAAAAAAATTACAATAAATACTTTACTCTTATCAGTAATTTTATTTATAGCAATCAAAACTCAATCTATTTACAACAAAAAGTGAATTTTATAAATTATACAATGAAAGTAATAATAAAATGATGGGCGAAAAATAGAGGTAAATCATATAATAAAATTGCAAAAATTATCTATTACACGTTACCTGAACTTTAATTATAATTTAGAAAAATTCTACTAATAACAATCAAAACTCGAAACTTTATACACACATGAAGAATATTAAAAATAGCAGAACTTAAATCACACACACACACTGACATACATTATATGCATTTTAATCTACATATTATTAAAATAATAATAATAATAATAATAATAATAATAATAATAATAATAATAATAATAATAAAGCAATACATCTTATATTAAATATATAATACGATTATTTTATTTATAATGTTATTGAACTTGGATTAAATGATATAATAAGATATAATATTATTTAAATTATGAATAAATAAATACATGCATTAAAAAATATCTAGATAATATAAAAAAGGTATTACGTATATGGGGAGTTGAAAATGTCAAAGGGTACAATAGACATTGCGTAGGATAAAAGGATGAAAATGACAATTGTTTAAAGTTGGAGGATGAGTTTGATTTTTAGAGTAAACTTGGGGGATGTAAATGATTTTTACACTTTTATTCTTAGATTGCTATTACTAACTACTATTTGATTGCTATCTTTCGCTTCGATTTTCTTAATATCTAGTTGTTATTATTACTTGTTGCCACTGCTTCTTTTCATCTTGTCTTTAGCCGTGTCTATCGGAAATAGCTTTTCTGCCCTCCCAGGGTAGAGGAAAGGACTGCGTAAAGACTATCCTCCCCAGGCCCTACTTGTGGGTATTCACTGGGCTTTTTTTTTGGTCTATAACTGCTTGATATACTTTTCAACAGCAAACACAGTTATGAGCAGATCAAAGAGAAAATTCATGTTTGAAGATATTCTCAGTCCACTGTATCCCGATAACTTGTCCTTGATGCCCTGAATTCTATTCCATTTTAGCTGGAGATAAATTTACTCCCCAGCAAACAGCATGTTATGGATCCAATATCCGCAACCAAATACAGAAATAATAGATTGGTATATTGATACTGATAACAAAGGAAACTACACTGAAAAGTAGCAATAATTAAGGATAGTAACAGAAAGAAAGGGGATGGGAAGACAGAGCCACAGAGAGAAATAGTCAAGGGAGAGAGAGACTAGAGAGGGGAAGTTTCTACAAAATTCAGCCTAATCCCTCCATGCTGACGCCTAGTCCCTTTTAATCGATTCGTGATTGCACTTCTTGGACCCGGATCCCAAATTAACCTTTTCGAAGGCCTTCTGGCCCTGTGGCTTCTTCTCGGCCCAATAGTTCTTCTTGGCCCAATATCTTGGTTCATAACAATACTCCCGTCCTCAATAAGAACCTTGTCCTCAAGGTTCGAGAAAGGACACTCTTTTGAAAGAACAATGGTAGTTAAGTTGATTTGTGTCATAGAAAATGATTACCAAATAAAATCCTTCCTGTACACAGTAGAGTCTATTCCTGGTCTATCAAATGTTGTATTCACATGACAGGGTGCTAGGTAGATAAAAGCCGAAGACAATTGGATGCCAATAAAGCCATCAAGAGCACAACTAAGGTCAAAGGGAGGTTTGCAAGCATTGGATATATAATACAACCAGCAATCCACGCCTTTGCTGAAAATCATCTTGCCATCATCTGACAGCTGCTCAACCAAAGGTATAGCAAGTCCATGCTCTCTAAGGGTCTCGATTAACATTGAATTCTCATTTGAACTAATCTCACGCTTTGCTATTGCAGCGCGCATTTGTTGACTAGCCTCATATTTAATGTCTGTTGCTCTAACAATATCATATCCCCTTTTAGTTTCTTGAAAAGCATATTTGAGTTGGTCGCGCTTTTGATTGAGCCTGCGAATCTCAGCAATTCTTTCCTTCTTTATCTTATACCGCATAATCACATACTGCAGTTTGTCCCTCAAATAAACAAGGTATTTTGTCACTTCAACACGTCGAGCTTTGCTAGCTTTGTATGTTTCTTTCTCAAGACCATGAAGTTCATCTCCTAGCTCAATTTTCTTAGGATGTATCAGAACCTGTTGAGATAACTTACTAATCTCAAGAGCAAATCCTGGAATAAGTTGATCTAGAGCTGCAATAAGGGTAACCTCACTACCGAGTGCTCTGTTGACTAGAATATTTGGCGGCGGCTCAAAATATCGCCCAGCAAATGCCTCGAGCACCCCATGTATTTTGTCCTCCACAGCGAGCTCTCCCAATTTAGATAACAAGGAACCATGAAGATTTCGCTCATGTTCAGTATCAACCCAATTGCAAGAATCCCACAAGGTTGATGCCATGAACTTATCAAGTTCCAAGACGCCCACAGCAGCACAGAATACACAAATTCTTGTAACTCTAAGGAACATAGTAAGCAAACTAGAGCCAGGGTCAAATGGGAAATCTAACCCCAAACGGTCAGGTGGAAATAGACGCAAAGTTAAGATCGGCGCAGCATAACTAAGTCCACTGAAGTGATTAAATATACCTCTTTTTATAAGTTGGTCGCAATTACAATTTAAAAATATACAAGACATCTCCTTCAAGCATTGGGCTAGCTCAAGTCCATGTTGAGTATTAAACATGACAAGGTCACCAGAACAAGAAAATGTAGAACCAATCCATGATAAAGGTTGCACTATAATTGCAGGAACAAATTGCAGTATTTCTTTTCCAATAGTAACAATTTTCTCTTCGTCATTTTTGTCTTTATTTTCAACAGCATTAGCACAGTCATTTGCCTCATCACTTAGAGCGACATGACACTCGGGATCAGTAGGAAACTGTGCCTCAATGGTGTCCAGAGTAGTGTCTTTAGACCAATCAAATAATTCCACGAACACCTTCTGCGCCTCATTGTTGTTGTATACAGATGGCTCAACAAAGTATTGTGGCAAAGGGAAGTCGGCATTCTCTGTGTTTGCATCTAAAACCGAGTGACAGATCTCCTCTTTCGCTTGAGTTGCCAAAATTCCAGCACTATCATTTTCAATTAGTATTGATGCATTCTCGTCACAACCCTCTGGTTTCACAGCATCTGGCGTTGGTAGCATTGTCTCAACATCTACAACAATATCAGTATTTGTATCCGACTTTTCACCAAACACCTTGTGGGCAAGGTTGAAGTTGTTGTAGTCTGATTGTGCATTACAAGATTGGGGCAAAAGCGAATTGGCCATAGTGCACCATGGCGGAATAGCCGCACCTCGTGTCGGATAATAGTCTACTGTTGTAAGTTGTCGGAGAAAGGCTGAATGCCCCTTAGGTGCATCCCGATTCCGAAAACGAATAAACAATTTGGCCACAAAATGGTCCCAATCCGCAAGTTGTTTGTTTCGATATAACCAACAATACCAATCCAAAGCCTCGCCATCCAAATATAAAGAAGCCAACGACAACTTATGATCAGAAAAAATATTATAGCGGGTGAAATACTGTTCTACCTGGAATATCCATGCCTTAGGGTTATCGCCGTTGAATCTGGGTATTGTCACCGATGTAGCTTCCATGGACGAATAAAACCAAAGCCAAAATGCTGGATGTTGTGGTCTACCATGGTAGACAAGTCAATGAAAGCACCAATGTTATGGATCCAATATCCGCAACCAAATACAGAAATAATAGATTGGTATATTGATACTGATAACAAAGGAAACTACACTGAAAAGTAGCAATAATTAAGGATAGCAACAGAAAGAAAGGGGATGGGAAGACAGAGCCACAGAGAGAAATAGTCAATGGAGAGAGAGACTAGAGAGGGGAAGTTTCTACAAAATTCAGCCTAATCCCTCCGTGCTGACGCCTAGTCCCTTTTAATCGATTCGTGATTGCACTTCTTGGACCCGGATCCCAAATTAACCCTTTCGAAGGCCTTCTGGCTCTGTGGCTTCTTCTCGGCCCAATAGTTCTTCTTGGCCCAATATCTTGGTTCATAACACAGCAGTATGGAAGAAGTTTTATCATCATGGAGATCTTAGACATATCTCAGCACCATCAGTTGTACATAGGACCTTGCATCATGATAGTTGCTGTAAATGTTGATGAGCTTCTTCAGATATAAGCATTTAGCCATGACTATTAAAATTGACCATTGTCCCTCATCAGAGCTTTGAAAAGTTCATGATTCTCTAGTTTAATAGTAGAGTAGTGCAAACTGTAAAAAAAAATAGAGCTAGCATAGCTTGTAACATTTTTCTTTCTCTTATCTTTCTAGGATTACCACCTGAATATTTGACCTCAAAAACTCGGCCGTTTCATAACAGAAATCCTTAATCGAAATAAAAGTCAACTCTTAAAACCTATATAGATTGCTTTCCTAAAACTAACAAAAAGTCAAGGAGAAAATAGTCATCCACCCAATAGACGTGAATCTACTCGATTTCTATTCTGCAGTAAAAGGTACACATCACCATATGAAAAGGGATTACGACTGGAAGGCATTAATCTTGAGTCCAAAGACAAACAATCCTACCCCGGATAATTACTCTATGCTGTGAAAATGAGATATAAAGAAAAGCCAAATGTCCAACAAGAGGGTTGGATACAAAGAACTCAATTCATCTTCAAAGACTCCCAATTTGATATATGTCCTAATACAACCAGGTAAGCTCTTGTTCATCACCATGCAGCAGAGTACACATCAATAAATTAAAGAAAGATAGCTTATTAAAGAAATAATAATAAAAACTCATCTCAGTGGTTATGTATACCTTTAACGAGCTCGTGACCATAGATCGAGGGACAAATAGATTGAAGTACTTGTCGGAAGACATCAGAACCATATTCTTCAGAAAACTTAACAATAAACTCCAAATCCTTTGAAGTGAATGAGAATAAATCAAAAAGCTCTGTAGATCTAGCATTAGAATTATCTTGTGAACCCTTCAGTGTTGATTGAGACTTCGAGTTTGTAATAGAAACTACTTCTAGATACAAATAATGAAGTCCTTGATTCTTGCTTTTTGACTTTCCTGCATTTACCAAGGTTCTCTTACAGTTAACATCTGACATAGGTTAACTGAAAATGAAGTACATAGCAGCAAATCAAAAGCATATTTTTGATCCAGTTATCAACAGCATCTACAATATTATTCAATGTAACCATCCCATATTTCTCTCCAGTGCAGTAGGAAGATTGGTAAAATGAGTTTGTCTGTCCCAGATATCAGTTATTTCAGGCAAAGGCAAAATATCTGTGATTTTTGGCTCAATGTAGGGTGCTAAAACATAACTATTTCGAATGTCAATTTATTATAAGGCACTCTATCAATATATCATTTTGAATCCATTGTGTTATGTGCAAAGAAATTTACAGAGAACTCATAAGTTACTTGATCTAAGTAATATGCATTTTGAATGACAAGTATATTAAGACATTAAACCTTCTTTTCCTAAATAAACTCATTTAACAAAGAGGATATCTGGCGATTTTGGTCACTGGATTGGTATTTTCCTTAAAAGCATAGATGTCATCCACCCAAGACTTTGACCAAACACGGAGGAACAAAAGCAGCGTTCGTACTTTAATGCATTATTAGAAATTTCAAAGTGCATTATCAATTGTACTTTATGCAGACAGCAGCAGTACTTAATAACATAGGTTCAGAATAAAAGATGGTAACATATAAGAAGGTACTGCCCTTTGGATTTAACCCAAGTCGTTCAGATTTTTTCAAAGAGTCTTTAAAGCAATACTAACAATAAGCTACAAGATTCATTAACACTGATGATGTTACTAGTCTGCATCAGGTTTAAGCCTATAATTGAATCTGATTCCTATTTCCTATCAGTCAGGTGCATTTGAAGCTTGTGACCAAAAACATATTTTTACATGAAATTAAAAGACTCATGCGTTAAAACAAGGTCAGCACACTGGATCAACTTTTGTCAAAAATTTCTCCTTTATATCCTTAATTCAGAAGGGGAATATGTTACAATCCAATCAAAGAATGCTATTGTTGATAATCACGTATATCATCTAACTCAATGGAGAAAATCAGACGTAACACGCTTTTTGCTACACTAAAATAGAAACAAACTACATTTAAAATATGAGTAAAGCTTCATGCAGGTGATTGAATGAAGTCTNATATATATATATATTATATGGAATGGAAGGAAATTAGTAGAAAATTTTGCTCATAAGATGCAGCAACCTAACTGTGAAACTTTTGTTGGGGAAAAACATTTAGAATTTTTGTTGAAAGGCGTAAAGAGACTCACAAGAGGCATTAATTTGCTTTATAGGTGGAGGAAGTACATTTCTACAATCCAAACAGATCCATGATGTGTCCTCTATAAAATCATTTACCTCCTCCAATATCCATGTAGTTGTTAATAACCCTAATTATGCCGGTGACAGTGACAATATCTCCAGGGATGCATGCATCCACAAGATCTTCAGTTAGTTCACATTCAACAGTTCGAGGTACCCGCCCCTCTTCATGATTTTCAGATTTCAGCAGCTCCTGAATTCTAGGAGAAACGGATAATTATAAGATAAGAAATGAACATGAAATTAGCAAGGTGAGACGATGAATAAAAAGAATAACANGGCAAGGCCATCATAACTACTACATCTGACAAACCCAAGCTGACGAACTCTGAGTACTGTATGTGGAGGTCCACTAATAAAGAAAACTCCGAAGGAGGTTGTCTCAATGAACATGAAATTAGCAAGGTGAGACGATGAATAAAAAGAATAACAGACAAGAATTTTCTGTTAAATCTTTAACTCAAATAGTATGATTTATAAAGATGTTTAAGTGCAGACAGCAAAGAAGAGGAGTTTACCTTATTTTCTGAAAGTCGATAAGTCGAGCTGTAGACCTTATGGGATTAAAAGTCCTGCCTTTGCAACCATGCAATTTACATATTGGTGGAGGTGAAAATTTTCCATCTGGAAAGTCACGAGTAATACTGGTTCCGCATTTAGTACAGGCAAAATCCATTTGCATCACCAGAGGCTTGACTGTGCTGACTTTTACCACTGTACCACGTACAGAGACAAGCCTATCTGTCAATTGAAAGCATCATACTCAATTATTTAGAATCTAAGCAGCATTTAACCAGAGTTATCAAAGGCGTAAAGCGCAAAAAAGCTCTAACGTCTACTGGGGCTAAGCGCAAATAAAGCGTGAGCTTTAATTTAAAAAAAGGCGCAAATGGAGAAAAACTACAAATGTGTAGTGTAGTCCAAGACTAATATCTATAAGCATGAATACCAAATGTACACAAAGAAATTGAAGAAAATTTATTATAAAATAAAATATCAATCATTTAGTGTCGCCTCTTCAGGATTACGCTCATCGGTAAGGAAAAGTATGCCTTAGAGCCTTGATGACAGCATTGAAGCGCCCCCTAAGCGAGGCGAAGCGCTCAACACGTTTTGAGCCTCGCTTTAGGGCTTAAGTGCGCCTTAAGCCCTAACTTTGATAACGCTGCATTAAACTACTTCATATCTAAAGAGTAAATGTAAAGTTGAATATCATCTTTTACCAATATAAGCGGCTTTTAGGTTCTTCAATGCAATCACTGATTCAGGGTAGTTGTGGAGACGGATATTTATCTTCACAAAATCATCAAAACTTTCATCTCCCAATTTCTCAAAGAAAACCTGCTAGCATCAGCAACACACTGATACAACTAAGATAAAACGATATAAATATGTGAATAAATTGAATTTCATAAATATAAACCTACTACCTTGTGTAATGAAGCACTCATACACAACAGAGCATCTTTAGGTTTACTCTCTAAAATTACACAAAATTCCTGTAGTTCAGAAAGTTTACGGAACTGGAGAAAGTCCAGTGGCAATGAGAACGTGCCATCAACCTCCTTCACCTAGAAATAACAATTCAATGTCAGTCCTTCACCTTTATCTTAAAATTCTAATTATCATAATTATCCAGCAATTGAAAATAACTAACTTGGCCAATAAAATCAAAATCTTACATGATAAAGTCAGTAAATCAGCCATTTTCCTTTACTATTAGTACCAAGCTATGCCATAAATTGACAGACACAGACTCGAGTGGACAAAGTTTTTCATTCAACTACAGCAATTGAAAATTACTTAGAAGTAATGGTACATAAGAAAATCAGTAAATCAGTAATTTTTCTTTTACTAATAGTATCAATCTCGACTTCATTCAAAGTCACAGATACAGACCCCGATCATCAAGTTCATCTTCGAAAGCATCAAATACACTAACAGTTTAGCAGAGTCAAAATCCTAGGGAAAATTGCAAATGCACTCGGAATTTTGAGTACAACAACAATTGAAAATTACTTGAGTGGACAAAGTTTTTCATTCAAACAACAATTGAAAATTACTCAGAAGTAATGTTACATTAGAAAATCAGTAAATCAGTAATTTTCTTTCACTAATAATATCAATTTCGCCTTCATTCACAGCACAGATAGTCAGATACAGACTCCACTCATCAAGTTTATCATTCGAAAACATTAAATACACAAACCGTTTAGCCTAAAAAAATCCTAGGAACCAGCAAATACTCAGAATTTGGAGTACAACGGTCAATTCATATAAATTTCAATGTACATTCATCCATTTCTCAATTTGTACACATTACAATTTTGTTTAAAATCGAGCTAACCTGAGAAACGAAGTGTTCGCCGGAAGGAGAAGAGAAGAAGCGAGCAAGCTGAGAAGAGAGGCAGACTTTGAACTTGGAGTCATCGAGAGAGAAATCGATGTTAGGGAAATAGAGAGACAATATTTTAGAGAAACCGCTAAAATCCGTCAATCTCTGTTGAATCTTCCCGTTCTTCATCATCTCTCCGCTCATGGCGAAATGGCGATTGCGACTGCGATTGGTCCAACGCTCTCCGCGAGGGAAAAAACTTCACGCTGTTTTGGCGGGAAAAGAACGCTCCAGAGAATACTGGGGTCAATCGCTAAGTATAATCATACTATTGCACTTTTATGCCCTTAAAGCTATAGTATTAATGACCATATAATATTAATGAACTTTTATGCTCTTAAGGTTATATTAATAATACTTTAAAATATTAATAAAATATGTAAGCTACAAAAGTTAACTTTGTAACATTAAATTTGACTTGAAATTGTCAAAGAATTTATTAAGGTACATCTATCTAATTTAACTTTCCATGCATATAATAAATTTTTTGAGCTAACATTTACTTTTCTTATATTATCTTCTCCTCTCCTTTTTTTACCATTCATGTACAAAATAATATAATATTTTTAATTTTGTACTAATTATATGGGATACACTCACAATGCGTGTATCCAGGGATTAGTATAATATAATTAGTAATATGTACGAGTGCATAAATATCGTGAGAAAATATCTTAATTTATATAAAAACTAAATGTTATGTTGAATTTTGTAGTACGAAAAGTTATGCTGGATAGTTTGAAACAAATGCATCAAAAATATATTGTTAATTGACCCACCCGGGATTAAACTCTCTGGGAGCTCCTGGGTGATTTGGAACTCTCCGGGAGTCATTGTGACTTTGAGTATTGTAGGCGGATTAAAGTTGATGGAGTTGAGAGGGCTATGCGTAAGATGAGCAAGGGCAAAGCGACCGGACCAGATGAAATCCCGGTGGAATTTTGGAAGAGTGTGGGCAAGGCAAGCTTGGAGTGGCTCACTAGGTTATTTAATGTAATTTTTAGAACGAAAAAATGCCCGACGAGTGGAGGTGGAGCACGATGGTTCCTGTATACAAGAACAAGGGTGATATCCAAAATTGCAATAACTATCGGGGTATCAAGCTGCTT